CCACCACCACCACCCTCAACTTCTTTTCCTGGTGGATGAACTTTTACTATTAACGAACACGGGAGAGAAAACAGGTCCCGGTGGGGATTTGGTGCCCCCTTTGCATTGTCCATGTGAATGTGTGTCCCTGTTGATTTGGCCCCTCTGGAATCCCCCTCGGAGGCTGCTGAGAAACCAGGCTTACAGCTCAATGTATTGATTGGCTTATTAAGTGAAAAACCTTATTAGCGACGTGGCGCTCTTTCAAGCACGCATAGCATTTATCAGACCCTTGACATGGATTCACTGCAGCAATCAGGACGTTCTTGTTAAGCGGGCCGGATATGCAAAACAAGTTAAGGTAGCAGATCAACAGATGGATGGACTGTTGATTGTTAGTTCTGCTCTTTTGCGTCTCTGTTTGTTTAGCTGCTGCACAGATTCTTGATTTTCTGGAAACCTAATGAATCGTTGCTTTAGCTGCCTTTAAGCTAGCATTGCTAATGGCTTAGCTTGTGTCAGAGGTCAGATGCCAGGAAGATATGCAACCCCCCCTCCTTCTGCTATGACGCTAACATAATAGCTCACCCTTCTCTTCAGCAACTCTCCTCCTGGGCAGCCCAGGTGAAAGCTGATGGATGAAGGGGAATAACAAGCCAGGGCCCTTGCGTTCGCTCCTCCATTGTCCTCCTCCCGCTGCACCTCCTTGTCCTTTTCCCTGCCCGCCTTTGTGTTGGCTGTAGTGGTCCTCTTGTGTTGGCGGCGAACACGTGGACGGGCCCCGGGCGCTCTCAGGTGACGGGCGGCTGCGAGCCTCACCTCTCCTCTTTGGTTTTGACAACAATGGCCGCGGGTCCTCTGCGGTGAATTTCTACCTGTGGAGATAGATGACAGCTATTGTTGGCTCTAAAGAGAGAGGAATGTAGGGAGAGAAGAGGGTAAAGACGGATTTGTTTTTGCAACGCACAAGCAGGTTTGATGGCATGCAGCAGGTTGCACCAGTTCAGCTTCTTACGGCTGATACGCGACACAAATCCGATAGTTTCAAGTCGTGTAGTTTTACTCACACAAGTCACATTTTAGCCGCAAGAAACAGCCAAAAGATGCATCAAAGGCTAATTTTAAGTTTCCTCGTAGTCCAGCTAAACTGATTATCCAGGAAATGTTAAGCGCCGGACCTCGGTATCACTTAAAGTCGATCATGTGTGTTTGGTCTCAAAGTCCTCTCCTACTGTTAAAGCAGCATTACTCAGGGTGTAGGATTAACTCCCTAAACCCCTCCAATGCTCTCTCTGTCTCCCCCAGTGTTAGTGAAGGCCAGGCTTTGGTCTGTATTCTGACCCAGATTAGCGCCGTGTTGGGTTTGCAGTCGATGCCACACTGCTCCTCCGGGCTCTTATCAGCCGTGCCCATGTGCTGTCGGCCCTAAACTGTAACACGAGAGCCTGCTTTCTGGAGCCCAGTGTGATCCATTGTTGTATTTAATGAATGATTGATGACATCTAACTCATTCGATGGTCTTCTTTTGCCGTTAAACGCTCTCTGCTCCCGTGGCGGACGACGACTCGCTCGGTCGTTAACGATATTTGCATAATTTGACCCGTACGCGCTCACACGGTGGAGTTTCTATTTGTTTAACTTTCCACGTTGAACAAACATGGATTTGTGTCCACTGTTGCCAGGTGAAACTGTTTTGTCACAACCAGCCCAAATAAACTACATTTGCATTTGAAAGTGAAGGTAAAGCTGATGCATGACGTCCGGTTTTTAAAAAGCCAGCAGCAGGACTTTCTAGGAAACGGGACGATTAATCTTGGATTTAAGTTTCATTTTCATTCATTGTTTACTTTCGGCTTCCACTCTCTACTTTGTGAAGTTTAGGAACCAAAACTATGTGGTTGGGTTTAGAGAAATATCATGGTTTGGGTTAAAGGATGACTTTTTTTTCTCCATTTTCTGGGTTAGCAGGGTCACAAGTTCCCGTGTAATGTGACTGTTTTGCGGAAAAGGAGTGACAGCAAAGCAATAAAACAAATCCTCAAACTGTAACTGAGAATACAGCTTAATCGCGTCGAACTGTAATTTTTGGGTGGCGGCGCCGATCAGCTGACGTCGGACGGATTAACAATGGCGATACTGTCGTTGGGAATGAATCCGCTCTCTGATCGGCCAACTCCGGTCGCTTTGCTGAATTTATTTGGGCAGAATTGATCATTGATTAACGATCCCGACCTTCTTTGTCCTCAGAACTGCAAGGCAAACCAGGGGGATCATGTGTCTCACAGAGGACCACGGAGCCTGAGAATGGGACTCCCTGACTTCCTCATGACAACAACAACCAACAGCAGCCCCTCTGTTCACCTCCGAGACCCGACAACGTTTCATTCGGCCGACATCTGCAACGGTGGAAACCATCCGTGACCGCCTACAGTCCCTCGTCTGTGTATCCAGCAAAGGTGACGCATAGATTATCAAGCCTCACTCAAGCCAGATGAACCCC